AGTATTTAATCATAGATGCCATCGAATATTGTGAGGCTATTTTTGGATCATCAAGTCAGCAGTGCTAAGAGTAGGCGTAGAGAACTAAGTAAAAATGGTCAACCACTCAATGGGGTTCTGAATCTGGACAATCATTTGAACTATGTATTATAAATGCCACACCACTGCCTACTTCTGCGCATCATAATGGCCATCGTAGTGGTAAGTTCTTTATTAAACAATAGTGGGAGAAACAGTACCGCTAAGGAGAATACTACCAAAATGAATTTTTCAGGTTAAAGAAGTTCATCTTATATGAAGAAAATTAAAGTTATAGAAGGTCATTCGGCTCTTATTCTGAGCCACGGGTTGCACTATCTCCAGAACAATGACCAGGGGATGTTACCGGATCAGTAGAGGAGGTTAATCTGAGATATGAAGTCATTAGCGGCCATACTGAATCATGTCAACCAGACAGTTTGTTTGGGATCTGTGCGATTTTCATAGTCAGTAATTTGAGTAACATGTCTATGGTGCATTCAGTATTTGCTTTCCATTTGATACTAAGTTTATGAATGATATTTTAATTTATTTTATCCTACAAATCCATATTTTCTGGAATCACACTGTTCATGTCCGTGTTATTTTGTAATCCCGTTACTACCATTAGCGTTGTGGTATTTTACTGTTCAAATGTGGTACACCAACTTCAACCGATGTACGTATGTGCTTGTCTTTGTGTTGCATGTGTGTGATAGACATCTCCGTATTGATCACTTATAGTGAGATAGGATATTAATATTCATAAATTCAGTCATTTCCTTTTCACAGTAATTTCTTTTTGATGGGCTATTCTAAAATACCATGTAAAACTCATTTTATACTGTTTTTATTTTTTGCCTGTTTGTTCATATATGCTGTAAAAGGTGTGATGTATTAATTTGTGTAATTCCGAAAGCTATCATTTGGTTAATTTATACATTATGTGGTTGAACTTGGTTAAATTTGGCAACTTAGATTTCATTGTCCTATTTTTTTCTCTCTCTAAAGGCAACTGTGGGATTTTGTGCATAGAAGACATTATTCACGAACTTGTTACTATTGGTCCAAACTTTAAAGCTGTTCAACGTTTTTTATGTCCATTCAAACTTATGCCATCCAGTCGTGATTGGATGTCGGGTTCACGGCGCTGTCATGCTCATGTTGATTCTTTAACAGGGTTTCGAGAAGAACAACTCAATGAAATGATTCGTAGAATGATTTGAGTGTATAATAATTATGACTGTATATTTACTACTCTTGATGATAAGATTTTTGCTTATTTATTGTATTGTATAAATAAGACACTGGGATTATTCGTGTTAGGAACTTTCTGTTACTGAACCACTGCAAGATTGATTGGGTTTCATCGGCACCTGAACTAGAGTGATAAGGAATGAAGTAGTCGAACGTGTAGACCACTTCACTTATCTTGGGAGTCTCATCAGCGCTGATGGCCTGGTGAGTGACGAAATCTCAGCTTGGATACAGAAGGCCCGATTTGCTTTTGCCAACCTGCGTCACTTATGGCGTAGGCGTGATATCCGTTTGCTAACCAAAGGATGAGTATACTGTGCAGCAGTTGGCTCCGTCCTACTGTAAGGATGCGAGACTTGGCCGTTAAGAGTAGAAGACTTCCGTAGGTTACTAGTCTTCGATCATCGATGTCTCCGAAGCATTGCTTGTGTATCATGGGACAACCGTATAAGCAATGCTGTCGTTAGGAAACGAGTTCTAGGTAGAGACGGCAAATCAATAGATGAAGTAGTGAAACTTCAGTTGAGGTGGTTGGAACATGTGTTACGTATGGCTAACCACCGACTGCCGCGACGAGCTATGTTTTGTAGTGTAGGAGTAGATTGGAAGAAAGCTAGGGGCGGCCAAACCAAAACATTGCTGAAATGCATGAAGACACTAACAAGTGGTCTGAGTCATATTGGTAGATGTAGGCTACCTGATTGGGGTCCGCGAGACGATAGTCACCGATGGTTAGAGACCTTGAATGACATGGCTCAGAATCGTTTGCAATGGCGCAGATGCATCCACTCTTTGTGTTCTATGAAATTCTAAGCTTCTGCATTCCTCATAATCTCTACCTTTCTCCTTCTAAATTTATCTTACTGAATTATACTTCTTGAATCATATCTTCGCTCCCTAATGTTCTCTATTACTGCTAATACTTCTATTATTGCTATCACTGTTGGATTTGAACTGACAGTTGCGTCTCTGTGCTGATAGGACATGGCAACCTGAACTGATGTACATCTGTACGAAGTTCTGCGTTGTATCTATCTGTCTGTCTGTCTGAACTACTGCGAGTATATTTGGTCACTTATAAAATGTTCGCTCATTAAAGAGTTAATTCCCAGTTAATAGTATGTCAATCGAATCGGAATATTATGAATTTTTCAACCATTTTTATCTTAACTGAAATTCATGAACCGTTGGACAATCGTAAAGAAGTTCTTAGTAATTTAATCTACATCAGCATTTTTGTGTACACAAAAATGTATATAGGGCTAGGAACTTACTTACTTACATACCCATTCAATGTTCAGAACATGACAATAATTTGTCATAATAGAAAGTAAAATTTACAGTGACAAATAAGTTGAATATATGTTAAAGCATTCAAAACTGTTGTAAGTTCTCCACACTTAGCATTGTTGCGCTTTGAAAAGTCAGCAATAATTCCTGTCTGTATGTCACATGTTTAGCAAAACACTCGATCTATGGTTTCTGCAATGAAGGCAGCATTTCCATTGCTATCGCACCACACTTGGCTACAATGTAAATCAACAACTTTGTTGTTGTGAATAATATCGTTTGCATAAACTAGTTTCGCGTATCACACATGTGATTTTGGTTTCTTTATAACTCATCGCCGGTAGGCTTGGAGCATGAGTTTCGATGTATAGCTACTACTCCCTCGTTATGTGATAAATTTTCCAAATTTCAATAGTATGTTATATATACTTGACAAGTTGCTTGTAGATTACTATTAACTTCGAGCAGTTTCAAAGCGTGCATCAGTTAGGGTTAGGATGTCTGTATCGTTAACATCAGGGCGTTGTATTGTTTGCTTGAATTCCATCAGTGTGCAAAGTGTGCTCAAGGCATTCTGGGTCTCACTTGCTTCATGTATGTGTGGGCTTTCTCTAGACTGCTCTGTAGTCTGATCTGAATTGTCTAAATATTCATCGAAAAACTGTACATTTGTTATTGTATATTCTTTCCACATAATGGAGGGTTGTTGTAGTAGTATACATAATTTAATTAAATGTTTCCGTGATTTAACTGTTTCAAAACTGGGAGGTAATGATATTTTAACTTGAGCACATGCACCTAACGATGTGTGGACATCTTTCATCATTTGAATCTTGAAAAGATCAATCCAAACAGGCTGTTTAGAATCCTAAAATTAAACATGTATTATATGTACAAGCGTAAATTACCATATCTTGATAACATAGACGAGCGGAAACTTTTTTAGTGTTAAAATTAGTGAAATGTATTTCTTTGAGGTATGTGGATACGCTGCTATCGAAATGGTATTCTTTGATTAAACACCCACGCAAATTGTTATTTTGAGTTGACAGTCGAACGCCGTACGTTCGTTCTTTCTGTATTTCAATTATGACCATGGTGTATTTTTTTTATTATCCTCAACAAGGTAAAATTGTCATAAATCTAAAATGTAAATGAAGCATAGTTTTATCAGGAAATGTAACGTTTAACGTCAATAATAATAATACTAAGAGTAGTGTCAGTCAGTACCTTGTTGATATTTGAAAACCTAATATGCGTGTAGGACAGCTTTTTGTTCAAAACATTCCTAAGAGTTCTTTATTGTAATATCCTCCTCCCCGTGGTCGAAGGAGTTGGAGAACGGAGATTTGCGGAGCTTCCTGGAGGAGTTTGAGGCCACGGTGGAGCTGGTGGGTGTGAAGGGGCTCCGGGCGGAGTTGGCGGTGCTGGGGACACTGCGGGGAGGTGAGGCGAAGGCGGTATACGACAGCCTGGACGGTGCCACCTGGAGGACGGCGTGGGAGACGGTCACCGGGCGGCTGATGACGGAGTTCGACAGCCCGGTGGATAGGGGGAGGCGCCGCAGAGGTTCCGGTTGGCGAGGCTGATGGCGACCCGTTGGTGCTGACTGTGGAGCCCAGGATGTTGCTGCGCCGTACGCTGCCGAGTATGGGTGGGTAGTCGGGGGCACAGTTGTTGGCGTCGCAATTTATCGAGAGTGTGCCTGCCGCCGTGTCCCAGCAGCGCGAACTAGCAAACGCTACACGTTGGATAGATGCCGTACCCATTCAAGACCAGTGGGCAAGAACAATGACCTAAGTAGTAATCCGGCATATTGTAGCGCGTCACGGAATACGGAAGGTGATATTAACTGACCAGGGTCCCTGTTTTGAAAGTGACGAGTTTAAAGACCGTCTAAAGCAATTTGGCGTCAAGACGATACGAACTACACCGTAGGAGTAGAAGCGACTAACCAAAATCAAACCTTGTTAGAAATCCCAAACGTCGTTTAATAAAAAATACATTTGATGTATATTTTACAATCAAAGAGAGTTGTTGCGGTCATGATTAAATTCTAATTGCGAATAACATTTGAAGGCAGTTTTAGAATTAATAGCTTAGCAGTTCGTTGATTAGTACATTCTAGTTGGGGATTTTAGAGATCTCTTAGTCCCTGGAGTTTAATGGTTCATTGTTCTTAAGGTCCGTTGAGTATATCATCGTTCGTGATTATGGCAGTCCATTTACGTCACTAGTAAATGGTCCAATGTCGAGTGATATATCGATATTTATGTCAAAATATTGTCGGTATATGGTAAAATGGCTCATATGAAAGAATAATCAGCCTCACTCCGTATTCTTCATATCGTTTCATAATAGAAGATATATTAACAGAAATAGGTTGACCATAGATGTATGATTCAGTATGACAGGATATGGAATTCCCTTAGTTCAAATCCTATATATGAAGATATGTATCACTGAAGAAACGATAGAGCCCAAGATAATATACTTGCTGTTAAATGTTCTACAGATATTTTGGGCTGTATACATCACATAAGTAAAGTAAGAAATAATAATGAATTATGGGCTATCGAGAGACGATTTACAAAGGCATGATAGTAAAAGTTTTAAAAGGCGGAAATCAGATGAGTATTAATATTGATCACCCATAAGGGGACTGGTTGGTTGTAATTATTTCTTTACTAGTATCAATAAGAAAAGACCGATACAATGAAGCTTAAAACACAACCTTCATGTTCTAATTAGTGACTGTCTAATCCGTTGTTGTATACTGAGGGGATTACAGTGAAAAATATTAGATTCACATCTAAGACCAGGATCAAATTCCAAGACGGTCCAATAACTGTAATGACGTAGACTCGGAGTCGGATTTAAAATATATTACCAAGTGGTTAAAAACGTTCCAGTGAAGTTAGGATACCGTACCTCAAGAAGTAGCATTAGCCTAGCTATTAAACACATCCAAGGAGAATTTGGAAGTCCACCGATGAAGATGAAGAGATCACTACAAGTCAACAAACTACTATCCTTATCACTTATAAGTGAATTTAGCTATCAGGTTTTATTTCCGAAGTACACAGTTGCATCCCTTTTCATTTATGTATATCAAACTGACCAGTTAACATTCTCGTATGATTAACCACCGCTGTGGTATTCTTCCATACGTGTTTGAGTAGGCAGTTGGATAATAAAACAAAGTCTAATCTTGTGGTTGCTTTGTAGCAGCAGTATCATACAAATTATATCAATAAATGCTACTTAATGTATAACGAATTCACTAGATGAGGCTTGGCCATTACAAGAGGGAACGCTGGTCTCTCGGAAAATCCTCACGATACGGAGTTCTAAATTGTATCGGTGCATGTTATTAGAAAGCTATAAACTCACAGATGTTGTTCTCATATTTGTTTTTAAAAATCAGAAAAATGTCAAGGCATAGTTTTTCCGTATGAAAAACTGGAAACCCGGGCAAACTAAAAGTGATCGTCAATAAATTCCCGGGACTGCACAAGTCATCAACACTGTTAATGTCAGAATTTGGACGACAATAAGTGGTGGGGCTGGTCATCTTATTTTCCAAGCCGACCCAGCAGAGTCAATTAGATGATCCCATAGCTAGGATTTAGAAATTAGTTTTAGAAATTATGCTAATCGGACACAGCATTATTTATCAGTATACTGTCAACAGTACATCGCTACCACGGATGCGGGAACAAAACGAGTAAGGGTTAATCGCGATTCGTGACTTAAAAACAACTGCACATTATAAAACAGCAGCCGCAAAAGGCTTTCGAATATTATGGTTACTTCTTCCAGTATTTAAATGCTGTGGTCAGAAAATGTTTCGAGTTTTGTAGTCCATCTATGCGAGACCTCACTTAAATTATTGCAGCCAAGGCGCTTGGTCATACCTGACTTAAGATGCTATCACACTCGAGCGTATCCAGCGCGTGGGAGCAAAGAGTAGGGCCTTTCCAAAATCATCTACATAGAGCGCTCAAAATGACTAGACCTTTTCTCCATACCTTGTCATTTAAAACGAGATATTATTTTGACATTACTTAACATGAATAAAGACTTGGGTGTTAGTATATCATAATTTTTCCCTTCTCATAACTAATCATCTTTAAGGATACTGCAAGAAGTTTCTACTGCTAGATCGACCTATTATTTTATTAGAAAAAATAAGATCTGTCGAATAATAAAACTGGAAGCTTTCAAATGAGTTGATTTTATATATATGAACAGTAATTTAACATGAATGTCAGCTGGAACTCACAAAGCGAACAACACAGTAACCATGGCAGCAGTTTTATTCTTCGCGCCAACAACCCGTATCAGTTTAGAGGTACTACAAAAGATTTTGATTTCCAATATCTTTTTTACGAGTTAGTAATAATGTACTGAATTTTCTGAACTAGCTTCTGGTTCTTTCGGTATGGTACTAGGTATTCAGTAGTGTCCAGTGGATTGTAGTCGAGCCCCTCGACTGCGTTAATTATAGTCACTTGACAGTTCTGCATGGATTTGAATGTTCCATGATTTGAGTGAGTGAGTTTGTCTCAGGGTAGTAGGATTTATTGATATCAGCAGCTACCCCGTTACCAGACTCGTAATAGCTCGTAAGAATACGGGACCATTTTCGAGACTGAATTGTCTGACTTACGTAAGATCAAGTGCATTACGATATACCACTTATTTTGCACAACAGGTTGACGGTAGTCTTTCCAGTTCACATTTTGTAGGTAGATCTTTATCTCTGATGCGTGAAACCAACTGAAAAGGCAATACTTACCGTTGTTAGTACTTTTTGATCAGTCTTTCCATCAAAATTGAACCCTGCGACAACGTGACGGCTTTTTTCTACAGAGAGTCATGTTGATGGTTCCTCAATTTAGTATACTGCACTCGTGAAGATATACTTTAGGAGAGATGGCGTGTGATTGTTTTTACATCGAGCTGCTAACACCACATTTTCAAATAATTCGGATTGCTCTGTTAGGGTAAGCAACCAAGGTTCACTGACCTTGTTCCCTCTACTTCACATGAAATCAACATCCACGGTTAAGAGAGAGGGGTGATCTAATTTTCACACGTTTGTTGTACTGCTTGTTGGCCATGAGCGTTCTGTAGATAAGTCCAACTATGCATTTTGAGCTGTAAGATACTGACACAGTGAGACATATATTTTTCTACATTGCTGTGGTTATATATTCAACTGAGTTGCCAATCTGTTTTCATCTTTCCTCCCTTTTCACTTCCTTGTTTTCAGCGAACAACCATGAAACTTCTACTTACAGCAAGTGCACACTCCTCAAACAGGAGTTCGCAAGTTCACGGCCCATAGAAAGCATCTTGCAATGGATATTTTCTACCAACTTTGATCTTACTAGCTAGTGCTGCTACAAAAACACTCTTCAGGTAAATCTGACTTAGCGGTCAGACTTGTTACTAGACTGGTGATGTTGCAAAACGTGACCTCAGCTGATGAACACTAATAGAATTAACTGCTGCTGCGATCAAATTACTGATATTGCATATTAAGAGACGGTTAAATTTAAGTCTAGGCAATGGTGGAGATGTTTTTGTACGTTGTCTTCTGCTTTATTTGTATTTTTCGTGTAACTATTCCGTCTGCAAGGTTAAAGCATACATGCCTATCGTTTCTTCTGATTTCATTGTTGTTGAGAATGATTAGTGCCTCATTGTTATTTTTAACATATACAATAAAGCATAAAGCTGAGAATAAAAGCCGAATGACAAAGTCACGACCACCAAATTCTGAGTCTCAGAATTCATTCGTTCTTAGGCACAATATCAAATGCTAGGTAAGTTGCTAATGAGTTTCACTACCTGATGTACAGTACTCCTGTGTCACAACCATTAACTAATTAAAGACCTCGGTAAATGAGTTATCTACACTCATCTGACGACCTAAGTTTACGAAGTCTTTCCAAAGTGGAAGCATTCAATGATAGACCTCTATCCTACTTCTTCTTTCACGTCCAAGCCCTGGTTTGGAAAAACCGGTGGGTGGAGCTGTTCTGAAACAATGATGAGTACAAACGTTCCATGCAACTCCAAACACTGTTCGGGCACACAAGATTCGGGTACACCTTTTCTCCGAGTAACACGGGATGCAAATGCAATGATGAACAGAGGCGCATGCAAATATAGTGTAAAAAAGAAAGGTTTATCATGCAGCCTAGTAATAACAGAACTGATCGGAAGAACTTAAAGTCTCATGATTGCGAACAGATAATGAAAACCGTAACCGGTCTCTGCAACGAACGTGTTACGAGTCACGATGCATGTCGGAAAAATTTTGATGATCTGAATAGTTCTGTTAATATTACTTAAAGTTTGGTACTGAATCGGCCAGCTACAACTAACAGAATCCCTAGTATAAAAGGACTACCAAGAATATGATAAATGAATCATTGGTCGTCATGACTGAAGAAAGGTGGCCGATTGGTTACTTATTCTATTCTACAGAAACTCCGGTTTGAACTCTATGGCAGATACATGTGCTACAGTAAGAATCATTCCTCAGAACAAGACTGAACTAGGTCGAAAAATGTTCCCAGTTCGTGCACACGATATTCTACTGGGTGTTCGCTGTAGCTGATTTATATCTAGCAATATTGATAGTGGATTTTTTCCAGGATTAATTGAATTTTCGGTTGACACTAAGAAATATCATATGAAATATAACGATACGCTAAGTTTTAATATCGGCATAAAACCCTCCTGAATTCTCTAGGTCTGGTACAATCTCCGGCTGTAACAACTGCAAAGTTTCAGAATACACTAGTGAGATTTCTGAACCTGATATAATTCTACTCCAAGCCTTCTAAAAGTAGGCTGAAGGTTGGTCATTCAATCAAAACCGAGGTTGGACCCGCCTTCACTAGTCTCATAAAACTAGCCCATGATAAGCTTAAAATAACTACAGCTGAATTCAATTAAATGTTGCAGTTGAGTGTATCCAAACATCTGAGAGCCGATGGGCGTTCTCTCTATAAATGGGCTAGCTGAAGCTTTTGGCTATCACTACAATTTAATCTTAGCGATCTTTTTGAGTTCTATCTTCTACCACTGGCGTGTCTACTTCATGAAGAATCGTTAAACAATGCCCTGGTTATGTATATATAACTGCCTCTGCTCATTTATTCTCTACTATTTCTTTTGTACTTGCTGAGAACCCTATCCATAGTGTAACTGTCATGCTACTTCTACGCGAAATCATCAAGTTTATAGCTCACACCAAGCGCCTCCCAATCTACATTTTCCCATAAATCAACTCCTGAATTATGCAGACTGCCAAAGAACTATACAGTGTACGGACACTTTTTGTACTCACTTGTTAAAAAGGTGGCTGCATCAAGCTGTCCTTGTCAGTGATATGGTGGAAATGTGTCATCAGGAACTGACTCTTATTTCTTACCTAACTGCGCAACCTCCTATAACGACCTCCTATAACGTAGTAAGTAAAGTAAACACTAATTTTTAGCCTTGAACGAAATAACTCGAAAACACCAAGCCTCCAGAGTATCCGTGTCTGAAAAGTTAGAAAGAGTTTCAGTCATTGTTATTGACTGACGTTTGACCACCGATGATTAAAACTTCTGACACCAAATGTCAAATTTTTTCACGTTGTTGTTATAAACAATTGTCCATAAATAAATGGATAACTTCTACTACAATATGTATGCTCACGTAATTCGAAACACACTTCTCATCGCCATATGAACATGTCTATCATCTGACATTGCTGACGAAGAAGTGAGCTTGCAAAGCTGACACTCTTCCGAGGCGATAGGGTACACAAGACAGGAGGAGTGGATATATATATATATTACCAGCCATTAAAAGCAGAAACTACACAACATCAAAGTGAAAGACGTGGAGAAACAATGCTGGTGTTGTACTTGTACTACAATATGTGTGCTCATGTAATTGGAAACACACTTCTCATCGCCATATGAACATGTCTATCCTCTGACATTGCTTACTGATCATGTATGCATTGCCACTAGATGGACTGAGGACGGAAAGCCCTCAAACCTGGAATGCACTACTAGCATTCACTGGAGTCACACCAACTTCAAGCTGAATTGAAACAAGCTACCCTCTCCAGTCTTCAAAGGAGGAGATAGAAAGGACCCAGCCATTTACATACCAGTCACCTTTGACACAGTACCTCACGCACTCCTAATTGCTGAAATGGTCTTCATTGATCCACTCCGACCTTAGCTCAGAAACAACCTTGAGAATCGAAAGTTTCGCACCAAGGTAAATAGAGTGCACGCTAGTTGGCGAGTTTAAATATCAGGAGTTTAACAAGAGACCATCTTAGGTCTACTTGTCTTCCTCATATTCATTAACGACCTGTTAAACACAGTTATCTCCAAGCCATTGATTTACACTAGGATCTGGATGTCTGTTATAAGCAAAGAGGATTTGATTGAGCTCCAAATCGAACTTGGACCCTTTGAGGAATGTGCGGTGGAAAACTGTCTGAAACTAAAACATCCCTAATGGCGCGCCATGTACATTCTGCTCGACGTAACGCAAATGAATTACGACCTCAACGGAAGTATAATGTCCCTCAAAGCGCGATCTCGGTTTAATAACCACTGAAAGCCTTCGTACCAGTCCGAACTATATAGGGGACGCAAATAAGGCTAATGCAGCTCTTCACTTTATGAGAAGACAACTTGGTTCTTTCACTCCACAATTATTCTTAACGTTGTTTAAGATGTATGCGCGCCCGCACCATGAGGTTTACAACCTCACGCCTCGTTTTTTAAGAGACATAAATCCCTTGGACCGAGAGCGAAGACGAGTGACAAAATGGGTGATAGGTTTAAAGAAAAAACCTTACCAGGATAGACTCCAGCATTTGGGATTATTTCACCTGAGTTACAGGATAAGCATAGGTGAATCTGACTACGAAATACAACATACGAGGCACGCCGAACAATCCCAACGTGTACATCTTACCGAGGCGTCAACATTACGCCCTTCGAGGCAATCCTGGAAGAAATGCTCATCAAAGAGCTAACACTCAGGTTTGTACACACTTATTCTCATTAAGAGGTGTTGCAGCTTGAGATACTTGTAGCATCTCATCATTCATTCAATGTACTTCAGTGATCAGTCATTCAAATTATTCGATAATTGTATCGATCATTGTATATTTGATTGTGTGTGGATGCTTACTCGCTTATTACATGTATAACCTATTATTTCATGGCCATAAATACCTAGCCATTGCTGCAGTGCATGAGAGTTGGCTCATTCGCCTTTTCCAATACACCTCGCTTTACGTGCACGCTTTCCATTTTCATGTCTGTTTGCATGAATGAATGCATGAAATAAATTCATCCGTGAAATGGTATTTGGCTTTTTATTACCACCGTCGCACAAATGGGGTTTGCCTAAGTATGATATACGATAATGGACAGAAATATTTATTTCACCGCGCACTCTATCTTTAACGCAAGCAGGAGTCAAGTCGTGAAACGCTAAATGCTCTTTTAGCTGAGGTGATCACAGACTTCTTAGTGAGCAGCTTTAGGAAGAGACTTGATAAACCCGTATCTACATTTGCAATATCATCTGACTCTGATCACTAACCTAATCTATCTCGATTATTATCTCTGGTTCCTTCCCTCTTCTTACAATTTGGCCCCCCACACTATTTCAACTACCAATTAATAAACCAGATTACCTAGTTATTTACTGAATTATGAAATCTTATCCTTATTAGCATTAGAATTTTCTCTTTATTATTCTCCACACTGCAAATAACTGATTTCCGACCTGGTGATGTGATATCTAAAAATCCTATTGCCCCGAAACAATTGTATTCATTTAAATCACGGGATATACAAACTCACAAACAACTGCCAAATGACTATAATGATACAATAGAGTGGCTAGAACCCCATCCATCAGACACTGCAAGACACCTGAAATCGAGAGCAGAGAAACCAATCGGTTTATACTACCTCATGAAAAAGATACTGGATATTGGATTGAAGCGTACAACATTAGCCCCTAAAATTTGTATGTGTGTGGTTAGATATTGTGTGTGGTATGTTTAATTAACTTTAAACACTTGATGAGTTGGAAGACAATGAATTATTAGCAGAATACACTCACATAAACAAATAATAATTTAAGGCAGATGATCAGAAAATATTTATTTAAAGGTTTTGGTTGAAAAAATAATGCGCTAAAAACAGAATTCTTCGATGTTACTTACAAACGCTTTCAAAATCAAAATAATTTTAAATCATAAATTGTGCGCATGAAAATCAATGCTTCAGGGAATTTTTAAATGAATAATCAGACGTGGCCGAATGCTGTTAGGATGAATATAGTTCTATTATGAATGACAACTGTCCATTAAATGTTACGATAGTGAAATAACACATTATAACAATAATTTTTAGCAAACAAGCAACCTTTCCGTGATGTTGGTCATTCACAACTGCATCTTATTGATTAGTACTAGCAGATTTTTTGAATAAGAATTAACAGTGATGAATTACTGACATTATTGTCAGACTAAAGGTCATTTTTATAGGAAATAATGCGTGCTGTTGATTGAGGATGTCTCGTCTAAGTCTATTACACCCTGAAGAAAAGTAGTCAAACAAATTTGATCTCAAGTAGCGAAGAAACATCAGTGCACACCTTAAGCTAGTTTCAGACGGTAACGCCATTTGTACTAAACAACTCTTTAATGTCAAACTGGACCTAAAGGATTTATCTAGCTATGTCACTTTATCCATTACAGGAGTGGTACCTGGAAAGTAACCTATGCTGTCCGTAAACACAAATCAGGGCCGATAAACGTAACCGAAAATCGCAAACTATAAATGAGTTAAAAAACACAAAAGCAGAGAGAGCGGAGCTACTGGAAATTTATTGGTGCTCTCAAAAGAGAATGAAGTCCAAATGAAATTCACTGTGCATCTTCTAGACTATGAAATGAAACAGTATGAATTTTTTTTGACTTACTTACGCCTGATGGTTTACAGGCTGCCGATCAGGGATTAATTTTTCTGGCTAGTGTTTGTTATAGTGAGTTGGATTTCTTAGGGGTGAGGTAGCTAACCCCATGCACAACACCCCTCCTTCATCTGGGCTTGGGATAAGCAGTAACCTTAGAATGGCTCCAGGTAGTTTTTTTAACAAACCATAATAAATAAATATTACTGTTTAAGAAACACTGTGATTAAAAAAAGATGATAACTCACTTTGAAGATGATGAGATGAATTGTGAAATCACTGAAAACTAATATGAAATAGACAACTTTTGCGTATAAGTTTTAAGAACTATAACAACCCAAGCAGGCATAATGAAGTACAAAATGTTCACATCACCAACGTCAGACTAAATTAAGAGAACTGTCTTCATATTGCATTAATCTTTGTAAACTAGCCAACCAAACAGTTATAATCTGATTAAAACATTGTCTAGTTTCGAGATGGATTTTTTGACGATCAAATGAGATTGCATGATTGGTAGTATCCAATCATTATCGATCGATATGGATTGATTTGTGTCACGTGAAAATATATTAATCAATAAAATCTGATTAAGTGGCATAAAGATTATGGATATTTAATTCTTCAATAATTCAAATATGAATCTCATTGATAATTTTTAGAAAACAATCACACTACTATTTAATTGGAATAAGTAGTAGTGGGGTGAATGCTGAAAACAACATAATGGTTATGAGAGAAGGCAGTCAAAAACTTGTTTACATTGTAAGTGGGTCTTTGAAAATTAGATGTTGTACACCTTTTGTCAATAAACAGATTCTTGACATCTTCACCCATTACAGCAATATTGAATGTTCGTGTATCTACCAGAGATTCTTTGATTTATCCGGAAAAGAATACCAGTAACTAGAAATGAACTGATATAAAAGCATGTGAAACATGATGTCCGAGCACATTAATTGTATTGTAATGAGAATAACGTACTCAATTATGAACAGAGCATTTTTCACCACACACAAAGCGGTCAAACTAATGCTTCTCAACTTTCAAAACTCGACAAGATGGTGAAAATCTTCGACGAGAACACAGGTGGGGCAACCGGATTGTATTTACGAAGATTACAGAGTTACTTAGTCAAATAGGAAAACCATTTCGTAAATCGTTCATTTGCAAAATATCAGTTCATCATCTCGAAATGAACTGTTCCTGTTGCAGAACATCAATCCATTGTCACTATTCATGCGTTTCATACAAATTCCATTGTGTTCTAACTCTTCGTTTCTTGATCTTCCCTCTGATCTTCTGCTGCCAGACATTACGTTGACACTCACGTCATATACTACTTATAAGTAGCTCGCACCACACTCGTCCTCCCTTTTAATAAGCTGTCGTCACTTTCAAAACAGGGACCCTGGTCAGTTAATATCACCTTCCGTATTCCGTGACGCGCTACAATATGCCGGATTACTACTTCGGTCATCGGTCTGGAAAACTGAAGTTCTGAGCCGATCACAAGATTTCAACGACTTGTAATGGCACCACTACCTGACAGTTTTGATACTACTAATGAAATGACAATCCAGTAAGTACTCCTTTGTTTTCAATAATATGATAACTGAGATCAATCTTAGTTTGTTTCGCAAAATACTACTTATGAGTTTGTTGATGAACATCGATTATAAACTGAATATTGTTCAATAATAGTAAAAATATGTACTACGGGGTTGTGAAGATTGTTAAATTACACATTTTTGAAACCATGAATCGATCAATGTTAGACCACCATTAGAAACCTGGGAGCACTGTGTGGTGCGAGCTACTTATAAGTAGTATATGACGTGAGTGTCAACGTAATGTCTGGCAGCAGAAGATCAGAGGGAAGATCAAGAAAGGAAGAGTTGTAAAACAATGGAATTTGTATGAAACTCATGAATAGTGACAATGGATTGTTGATGTTTTGCAACAGGAACAGTCCAGTTCGATATGATGAACTGATATTTTGCAAATGAACGATTTACGATATGGTTTTCCTATTTTACTGAGTAACTCTGTAATTTTCATTAAATACAATCCGGTTGCCCCACCTGTGTTCTCGTTCACTACAACTAGATGGCCGTTTCGTCCTGGTATGGGACTCCTCAGCAGTGCGCATCCACGACTCCTGCACCCCGTAGGACTCAAACCCGGGACCTTCGCTATTGTGCGCGAACACCCTAGCCGTTAGACCACTGAGCCGGTATCTAACGGTGTTAATGTCTCATAATAATAGTAATAATAATAATAATAATCGTGGTTTAGTGAAGTCTCTTTTTGAAGTGACAATTTAAAACTATTGTTTAAAAATATTCAGTTATCAGACACTTATCTTCATTTTACTGGTAGAATAAATTGGTTGCAAAGGTTTAATCTATCTATCTATCATCCAGGTGGAAGTGAAACCTAAAAGTACCCAAAATCAATAATACTTACCTCTGTATTTTAAAGCTGTATATACTAACCCTATCCTCCTTACGGTTGGCCAATTTACTACTTAGGTAATAACAATTCAATCAATCCTTGACTGCAAAATTTAAATTAATATCACGTGATGTACTTGCGAGGGGACATGTCACTTGTCCATAGTAGATTTCATTGCCACCACACTGAACAGTTCAGACAAACACAGGAATTCAAGCGTAGATTTATCATCACACAGAACTAACTACAAGTAATCGATAATTGTTGATTGTAAATGAATGACATGTCATTTGAATTCTGTTCTGTCGTTGTACAAATGAAAAAAAAAAACCTATCCTCTTTGCATCCCGCCAAAAATTCACATGACCTTATTGATTTTAATCTGGACATTCGTCGTCTGCCTATGGTTTAAATTCGATTGTTTTTTTCTGTTGTTGTTGTTGAGTGATAGTTTATTGATATCACTCACTCACCTAAAATTGACAAAAAAAGGTATATTTTGTTATATTTATGATAATTATAGTAATAAAATGACTGTCTTCATTCACAGTGATGAGTCGTACAGCATCGAACAAATCGAAACGATGTAAGAATGGAAAACGTTCACTATTAAATAGACACTCCACTAATTATTATCGTCGACGTTATGCCAATAGACGAAATCATGGTATATGCATACGTAATGCTACCAATCTCAGATTATTAGGTGATGAATTGAATTTTCTATGTGATCGTACAGTGGAATTTATTGAATCAGGTGAAACTTATGATATTATTGCAATGGAATTAGCTGAACAAAGTGTATATTTTGAACGTGTTTTGAAATATCATCGTGGAAGGAGAAATATCCAGCTACCAGAATTTGTAAAACCTGGTTTCCCTTCTGTTTTAGAATTTATACGTAAAGGTGTAACAGAGATTAATTCTGAAAATGTTTATAGTATATTTATTGCTGCGGGTTTCCTTTTAATCCCAAAATTAAAAGAACAATGTGCCAATCTGTTGAAAGAGATTGTGACAACGGATTTTTCTACGGCAATTGATATATGGTTAAACTATAAATCGTTCTATTGGCCTGAATTGGGGAATATGGCATATCAAGTGATTTTAGAGAATTTCGAGGATATATGGCATACATTAGATTTTGAAAAGTTGAGTGCAAATGATATTCGTCAAATTTTACATGAAGATACTTTAAATTGTAAAAATGAAAAGAATATATTTCATGCTGTTATACAATGGATTAGTGGTGATTTTGAAACACGTATTCAATATATGCTTGAATTATTGCTGTGTATCCGAATTGGAATGTTGTCGAGCGTTGATTTGGATGATATTAAGAAGCATGATCTCATTCAAATTATTCCAGAATATTTGGAGTTGTTAAATCAATGGCCAACATGTTTAACTGATACAAATAATCGTATTGTGAATGCATATGGACAGAGATTTATAACGCCGAGGCTGCCGCATAAAGTGAGTTACTCTACCTTGTTTGGTTAAATTATCATTGAAAGATTCCATAAAACTACACTTTACTTAGTTGTCGTACTATCTTAGTGTTATTGCAACTGACATGATTCTTTTAAAGAGAGAATAACTATTACTTACGCCTGTTCCCCCCAATGGAGCATAGGCCACCTACCAGTTTTCTCCAACCAACTCTAACCTGGGCCTCATTTTTCTAGTTCTGTGCAATTTTCGTTCATTCTCCTCATGTCTTTCTCTATTTCTCGGCATACTATGTTCCTTGGCCTTCCTTTTTTCGTATGACCTTGAGGGTTCCATGTGAGGGCTTGTCTTATATGAAGAAATAGCGAACATTGCTCAGTTTTCTAATGTTTTCTACGAACCAATGTTATACAATCATATTAATATCCAAAAAGCATTGGATAGCAGTCTCGTCTCAGTATGATGAATTCCATCAGATAGTGGCTATAATCTGATGAGGGATGATGGATAAACATAGCTCTCAGGTCCAACACTGGGTTTTAATGACTGTCTAACAACTCTCAGCTAGTTAAAATGGTTTGAATATGGTTTGTGATCATATACAAATGATAGATTGTTATTAAGTCACTGAAGGAAACATTTTTCATGGAGATTCCTCAATACGAAAATAATTTAGAGCAGGATCTGCTGAGTTTACTTAGATAGTCAATGGAAACCTGACAGAATTGGTTAATCGTTCTGTCCGAATATGATGAACTTTGAAAAAACTGTTGGAAAATGTAAGAAATGTTTTAAACAACGAATGGCAGATAAAACACAAAGACGCTTTTGAGTGAGGGTCATTAAAAATTGCGAGGGTTGCATATCATGATTATTCACGTGTGTATTCAACAGTGGGTGTAAACGAATTCACACAGATTGAGTTCTGTTATCATATACTGAATCATGACGCCCACTGTTACAAACATAGACACCTAAAACCTACTTTTGCTAACAAAATACAAACATCATAGGGGCTGAAACTCCGTCCTGTAGACCCTTCAAGCCTCCTGCCGGTCCCAAGCTCGGATAAAGCAGGAGGGGTTGGGCAGGGGGTTGACTCCCCCATCCCAACTAAAAACTAACTTGCAAAAAAAAGGCGCTAACCAGAAGAAATAATTCAAATCATTTTAACTCTGCCCTGCAAGTTGGAAGAAGAATTATGACGTGGCGTGATGAAAGCCGAAAAACATGAGAAGAATGAACAAAAATTGGACAGAATTGGAAAGGGAAGCCCAGGCCAGAGTTGGTTGGAGAAAACTGATGGGCGGCCTATGCTCCATTGTAGGGTAAAAGGCGTAAGTAAGTAATAGAGTCTGAGTCCCTTGAAGATACATACATGATAGTGCGGACCCCAACCAGGTATCCTTCATCTACCAACCTGACTCAGTCCACTTGTCAGTGACTATAGGGATTTGGGCCATGTTTTGGTCTGGCCAACCCTAACTTTCTTCCAACCTACTCCTACACTACAAATCAAAGCTCGTCGAGGCAGTCGGTGGTTAGGTATACGCAGCACATGTCCCAACCACCTCAACTGGTGAAGTTTCAATACTTCATCTATTGATCTGCCATCCTTACCTAGTAGTCGTTTCCGAATGACAGCATTACTTACTCGGTTGTCCCACGGTATACAAGCAATGCTTCCTAAACATCTATGATCGAAAACCAGTAACCTACGAATATCCTCAACTCTTACCGGCTATGTTTCACAGCCATTTAGTAGGACGGAGCGAACTACTGCACAGTACACTCGTCCTTTGTGCGGAAAACGGATATCTCGCCTGTGTCATAAGTGACTCAAGTTGGCTAAAGCCAATCGAGCCTTCTGTATCCATGCTGAGATTTCGTCAGTCACAGGACATCAGCACTGATGAGACCTCCCAGATAAGTGAAGTGATCAACATGCTCGACTACTTCAATCCCTATCACTATTTCAGGTACCGATGCAACCCAGTCTTGAAGCAACATTTTGCATTTCGAGGGTGAGAACCGCATCCCGAACATGCTTTCATTGTTGCTTATGGTAGTCAGAAGACTCTGCATTTTGTCAGCGTCTTCACCAAGTAGGACTATATCATCGGCATATTATAAGTCAATAAACGTGTCGCCTGGTAGAAAGAAGGTCTACTCCTAAAAATTCACACGACGATAAGGTTATTTCTAGGAGCATGTCTATGATAAAATTAACCAAACCACAAACTAAAGTATATTACTAACTAGAAGTTTCATGACTAATAGTAATGTAGTGAAGGAGAACACACAGGTGAGGGCAACCGAATTGTATTTACCCGAAAATTACAGAGTTACTCAGTAGTAAAATAGCAAAACCATATCGCGTAAACGGTGAAATTTGCAAATCTTCAATCCATCATCAATCCATTGTCTGACATTTCACTCACTATTCATGCTATTTCATACACAAATTCCATTGTGTTCCCCCCACTCTTCTTCCTTTCTCTTGATCTTCCCCCCCCCATCTTCTGCTGTCACCAGACTTTACGTTGACACTCACGTCATATACTACTTATAAGTAACTCGCACTGTAGTGAATGAGAACACAGTTGACGGCAACCGAATTAGATTTAACGAAAATTACTGAGTTACTCAGACAAATCGGAAAACCATATCGTAAATCGTTCATTTGCAAAAGATCAGTTCATCCTATGGAACTGGACTGTTTCTGTTGCCAAACATCACTCCATTATCACTATTCATGCGTTTCATACAAGTTTTCTAACTCTTCCTTTCTTGATCTTGACTTTACGTTGGCACTCACGTTATATACTACTTATAAATAGTTCGCACCACAGCACCACAGTAGTATATTCTTCACTGTACATTCTCATTATTATTAGATCGTCATGGTTTTTGGTGGATGGCGTGATAATGAAGGTCCTACAGCCGCTGTACAAGTTTATAATCCAACAGCTAAAACATGGACATTATGGAAAGAGAATAATGATGGCATCCAACTGACAATGAATAATAATCCATGGCAGCGTTTCATTCTTCATTCACCTACTACTAGATCTAATCGAATAGAACAAACTCAACCACAATCAACAACAACAACAACAACCAGTACACAAGATACTACTGTCAGTATAATTAACAATTCAACAAGTTATTTATCATTAGATGAAATGAATTCTGACAGGAATCCAACAGAATTATCCACGGATAATCATGATACCATGATAATGAATAATACAACACCGCATACTACTAATTTAATTAGTGAAATACCTAAACGTGTTTTTGCTGGTTGTGTACTAGTAGGTACACGTGTTTATGTCATCGGAGGATATGATGGGAATTTTTCATTGAAATCTACTTTATGCTATGATTTTGAAGTAGAATCTGGTTGGTGAGTGATTTTTTTTGATGAGTAAATGTATTGGTTACTATGTAATTTTGTAAGTAGTATATTTATTAAGAATGAATAAATTTGTCAACTTGAATAAAACGGAGAACAAATATCGTATGATAGAATAACATGGATTCTTATCAGTTGTTTGCTTAAAATTTACAACCATAGTATTATTAATTAAGGTAAGATTGTTATCAGTTGAATAGGAATCTATGAAAAACGTGAATTCATGTTATTCCGGCTATGATATTAATTCTTTGTTTATTCATATGAATAATTCTTGTGATTTGAGTGTTGTACGATTGATATTTTCATATCTAAATGCAATATATATGTAGTGAACGAGAATGCAGGTAAGGGCAACCGGATTGTATTTAACGAAAATTACAGTTACTCAGTAAAATAGGGAAACCATATCGTAAATCGTTCATTTGCAAAATATCAGTTCATCATATCGAACTGGACTGTTCCTGTTGCAAAACATCAACAATCCATTGTCACTCACTATTCATGCGTTTCATACAAATTCCATTGTGTTCTTCTAACTCTTCCTTTCTTGATCTTCCCCCATCTTCTGCTGCCAGACATTACGTTGACACTCACGTCATATACTACTTATAAGTAGCTCGCATCACATATATGGCTGAGCAGAATGATCAAACAATAATTTTTGCGTTTGACTATAAATTAGGTTTGAGTATATTTATATATCAGGTGTGTATTATGTAGTGTTGTTTGTTGAGTTCTCTGAGTTATGACGTTGTTTCATTGTGGGTAATTTCATGTGTCTATCTAATAAGAAGTTGAGTTTCTTGTAGCTGCTATCTGTTCTGGAGGCCCAAGTTGTGATGATTCACCCTCTCAGATTTGATTCTCATTAGTTGACTTTGCGGTAAAGTTGAATGTTATTGCACCTCATATACATATGAGTTTGTTCTCATTTAATTGAACGACATGGCTCAGAATCGTTTGCAATGGCACAGGTGTATCGACTCTTTGTGTGCTTTTAAATTCTAACCTTCAGAATTCCTCATCATCTCTATCCTTCTCCTTTTTAAATTTATCTCACTGAATTAGACTTCTCGAATCATATTTTCGCTCCCTAATCTTCCCCATTACTGCTAATACTTCTACTATCGCTATCTTGGATTTGAACTTAGAGTTGCGTCTCTGCGCTGATGTGGTATGGCAACTTGAACTGATGTAGTTAAGTACGAAGTTGTGTGTCGTATCTGTCTGTCTGTCTGTCTGTTCTCATTTATTCTGGTTAGGGTCATTCGTACAGCAATAACTCATCTGTACCATTGTGCTTGTATTATTGTCACGTTTGTAGGAGCAGATATAATTGAGCATTGCTTACCGACTACACACATATTCATTCTAATCGCTTTAACGTTGTCCGCTATAATAATTTGATGACTCATTCATCTTCTTATATATATATATATATTTTAATCCTACTCACTGCCGTGTTTGCTCGCTTACTGTTCGACACTACCACATCATTTATACACCTCGTATACCTGTGGTTCTTTGACGTGTGTATGGTGTGACAATAAACGTAGTCAACATTTTGTATTTGTCTAATGATTTAATGACCGTTGGGCGTAATCTAATAACGATTGTCAGGACGAGCAGTATATGAAGTTTAAGAATATATCGAATACCGACCGCCACAGAACTGGTGAGTCTACATCCACTTACTTGTTCCTGCCTAAAGTGACATGCTGTTAGTCAACATTGTAGTTCCGAATTCTAATGTTCGACAACTAACAACTTCAGTCAAACTTACGACTGAAGCGGGAATGTGAAATCGAACACATGAAACTACATTAAAGCCGAGGCTTCAGAAAATGTAGAAGAGTATATGTGTCTACAGCATTGTGTGTGATTGTGAGCCGAAATTACGCAATCCCTGAAACCACTGACCCCAGTTAGCGAGTTTACTCCAATCAGGTAGTCTATTTCTTACAGGTGAGTCCAGTGAAACACTCAGTGACTGCATCGACAGTGAATATTTGTTGGTTTGGCAACTTCGAAATTACACCAGACAAGGTTTATAAGGTGGCATGCGTAGAGTCTGGGCAAATATGATACACCTCATAACCTAAGTGAACTCTGTTGTGTCAATATGCTTCGTTAGATATCATGTGGCACAAACAGAACTCCAAGCAGAATGCTGTTACACGCTAATAACCTCTAGTTAACAACCAAGTTCCTACTATTTCAGAATTCTCTCCTTTTCCGGCCCGTTGAGTCCAAAAGTTCATAAACAGCCTACTGTAATCGAATTGAATAGTCTCATAAACCAAAAAACTCATTGCGCAGAGAAATGGAGACTGACATGAGACGAATGAACAACAATTGATGAGAACTGGAAAGGAAGACCCACCATAGAATAGATCAGGGAATGCTATTCGGCAGCCTATGCTCCACTGTGGGTAACAGGCGTATGTATGTCTGTGATAATCTACTTATATATCTACTTATTAAATCCTCAAAGAATAGTTTAAAAAGTTTCATGTTTTCAATAAACACCCAAATCTGAAGCACGGTTTATGGTCATCGCTCTGTCATATTACAAGACCTAATAGGTCTAGCCGGAAATCCAGTCCAGTCCAGATATCAAAAGGAATACGTCAACGTGCGCAGCCACCTGTCGGATACAGAATGTTTCATAGCAAATTCGATGAGATTCAGTCTTAGAGGTGGTAGCTTCGCACTGTTGTCCACCTGACGTAGCAAATATACAAGTTATCTGAACCTATGTTTCATCTCGTAATAAACCGGATCACCATAGCAATGGCCAGATTGCTCTTCATTGAATACTTGTAAGTAAGTTAAAACTTACCTGTCTCACGACAATTCACTGAATTATACCATCTTATTACACTGAAAATTATTGAGATCTAAAAGCCACCTATTTGATGACAGTTTAAAACTCTCCAACATTGAACATCTACGAACAAGTCATTAAGGGTCAAAAAGTGAACGTGAATATCTTATTAACAGGGTACTACATTTCACCAGTAATTTGGAATCTAACAGTCAGTGTATTCATTTACAAACACTTCATTACTATGGGTTATTACGTAGTATCTAAAAGCACATTGATAATTCCGAAATCGAGACTGAATATTACTTACTTACTTACTCCTGTTACCCCCAATAGAGGAGCATAGGCCGCCCACCAGTTTTCTCCAACCAACGCTTTCCTGGGCTTCCCTCTCCAGTTCTGTCCAATGTTTGTTCATTCTTCTCATATCTTTCTCTATTTCTCGGCGTAATGTGTTCCTTGGCCTTCCTCTTCTCCCTTTACTTTGAGGGATCCAAGTGGGGGCTTGCCTCGCGACGCAGTTAGGTGCTTTTCGTAGTGTGTGTCCTATCCACTTCTACCGCTTCTTCCTGATTTCCCAGTCCGCTGGAATCTGGTTTGTTCTCTCCCACAGTACGTTGTTGCTGATGGTGCCTGGCCAACGAATCCTAAGTATTTTGTGTAGACAAACCCCGTGTCCAACCCTCCTCCTTTATCCGGGCTTGGGACAGGCAGTAGCCCCGAAGGTTCTACTGGCGGAGTTGAGATTCAATACTGTTTACTTCAAACAATAAGCTATGTTTTGTGGTGTAGGGGGACTAGGTTGGTAGAAAGCTAGGGGCGGCCAGACCAAAACATGGCAGAAATCCATGAAGTCACTGACATGTGGACTGAGTCATGTTGGTAGTTGTCGACTACCTGGTTGTAGGGTCAGCGAGACGAAAGTCACCAATAGTTAGAGACCTTGAATTACATGACTCAAAATCGTTTGCAATGCCCCAAGTGCATCCATTGATTGTGCTCTCTCAAATCCTAATCTTCTGGATTCGTCAGCACCTCTACTGAATTATACATCTTGAATAATATCTTCAAACCCTAGTTTTCTTCATTACCATTCATAATTCTACTATCTTTATTACTATTGGGTTTTAATTTGACATTTGTGTCTCTGTGCTAATGTAGTATGGGGCAACATGAACTTATCTACTAATTACCTACAAAGTTGTACGTTGCAACTGTCTGACAGACTTTGCAGTGAACGAGAACTCAGGTGGGGCAACCAGATTGTATTTAACGAAAATTACAGAGTTACTCAGTAAAATCGGAAAACCATATCGTAAATTGTTCATTTGCAAAAGATCAGTTCATCATATCGAACTGGACTGTTCCTGTTGCAAAACATCAACAATCCATTGTCACTATTCACGCGTTTCATACAAATTCCATTGTTTTCTAACTCTTCGTTTCTTGATCTTCCCCCATCTCCCGCTTCCAGACATTACGTCGACACTCACGTCATATACTACTTATAAGTAGCTCACACCACAACTTCAAACAAATAAGTTTTTCAATCGTTACATAATGTCATGAAATACATATATATATTGATCAAAGAATTATCACTTTCATTCACTCATCATGATGATAATATTATCATCTTTTTCAATACTATTTTTTTCTTAATAGGTATGAAGTAAGTTGTATGTATGAGAAACGTTATTATGTTAGTGTCACGTATGCAAATGATTATATTTATGCATTGGGTGGACATAATGGTGAATATGAAGGTCGTTTAAATTCTGCTGAACGTTATTTATTAAAAGAAAATTTATGGCAAACTATTTCATCAATGAATTGTATACGTAGTGATGCAGCGGCTGGTGAATTAAATACAAAAATTTATATCTTCGGTGGTTATGATGGTCGTGCATATCTTGATTCTATGGAATACTATGAACCATGTACAAATCAATGGACACTAATTAATCATCGTATGAATTCACCTAAAAGTGGTGCATCCTTGATACAATATAATCATTGTTTATATATTATTGGTGGTAATAATGGTAATCATTTATTAAAAACTATTGAAAAATATAATTCTGATGAGAATAAATGGGAAATCATCGGGGAAATGAATCGTAGTCGTAGTAATCCATCGACTACAATAATTGATAATGAAATATTTATATTAGGTGGTTGGTCAGATGAATCAGAAGATGATATTTTGGATTCAGTGGAATGTTTCAATGTGATCAATTGTCAATGTCACATTATGCCATCATTATTATTTCCTGTTAGTGCAACATGTGCTTGTACATTGAATGGTTGTGATTTAGTGAAAAAATATATACAACCATCAATGGAATTATCAACTTGTTTATTAGGTAAGTAAGTAAGTAAGTAAGTAATTGAATATTTTGTTTGAATTTTTCATGTTGTTAATGTGAAATTTTTGATGATTGATAAGTTGTTAGTGCTGTAATGCATTTGCGATTATTGATCGGTTGTCTATGAACCAATATTAGCTCTAATATCCGAAAAAATGTTTCCCCTTGTTAAATTGAACAATGAATATACTTACACAGTTGTTAGCTGTGTTTTAATTAATGACCTTGAAATGTAGTATTTGAATATGAAACATTAAATAGGTTGCATGATTTTGGTCGTTACTTCAGCAGTATGGAACGAAGGAGTGAGTAGTATGAAGGTCAGAGATGGATTACTAATGAAAGATGGCCGACTGGTTATTGAGGTAGTGAAACATCTGAAAATGAGGTATTCATACGAATGTTCAACCAGCGTCTACCTCGATATTTAACGATGGATAAAGTAAGAGGTGTTTGCTGAGAGGATGCTACGGACATCCAAATGAACATGTAGTAGTAGTGTAGTGAACTAGAACACAGGTGGGGCAACCAGATTGTATTTAACGAGAATTACAGAGTTTCTCAGTAAAATAGGAAAACCATATCGTAAATCGGCAATTTGCAAAATATCAGTTCATCATATCGAACTGGAGGACTGTTCCTGTTGCAAAACATCAATCCATTGTCACTCACTATTCATGCGTTTCGTACAAATTCCATTGTTTTCTAACTCTTCCTTTCTTGATCTTCCCCCATCTTCTGCTGTCAGACATTACGTTGACACTCACGTCATATGCTACTTATAAGTAGCTCACACCACAGTAGTAGGAGCGCATAAAACCACTGAATATTGACTTGAAACATCTGAAGTAGGCGAAAACTACCCAGTAGTGGTTGTCATGTTTGTCTTCTCGATTTCTTATCATTATGTTGATAATATTGTGGTGATTTGAGCTGATCACACTATGTTCATTGAGTCGAAATGATAATTGGTTATCACAAATGTAATTTCCCGTGGAAATTGTACATATTAATGTAGTACTGTAACGTATATGCGATTATAATTGATGAGTATTATTGATCGGCTGTCTATGAACGTTGGGAAACTAATATCAACTCTTAATATCTAACGAAATGTTTGTATTTTAGTCAGGGATCTTATTGATTTCTGTTATATACAGCATTCACAAAGTTTCCCCTTGTTAAATTGAACAATGAATCTACTTACAGAGTTGTTAGCTGTGTTTTACTTCATGACTTTGAAATGTAATATTTGAATGTGAAACACTAAATAGGTTACATTGTGGCGACCAATTTCTACGTGTTCTTAATCTTCTTAATTAGCTCGTTCAGACAATCGTTATTAAATAGAGTCTGACGGTTTACAAAATCAGAAGGTAAACTCGAAGTGTTGAATACGTTTAGTTTAGGCACAGCACAAATAGAGATAGCAGACTACAAGCAGACCAGGCAGTCACACTAGCGAGTGAATGGGCGAATGTGCGAGTGAATTAATAAGATTAAAATGTTCGTATATATATACATAGGAAAATGTCTGAGTCATCGTGATATTTAAGAGATCAATGTTTAAGCGAATAGGATGCATATACGCGTAGGCGGTAAGCAATGCTCAGTTATACCAGCTCATACAAACCACACAAAAAATGGCTTGGTTAAATAAATTAATCGAACTGGAATATATGTGGAGGTTACTACAGCATGATTTCGGTCGTTACTTCAGTAGCACGGAACGATGGAGTGAGCAGTATAAATGTTAGAAATGGGGTACTCATGAAAGATGGCAAACTGTTTATTAAGGCAGTGAAACTTCTAAAAATGAGGTTCAACCAGCGCCTACTTCGATATTCAACGATGGATTAAGGTAGGAGGTGTTTGCTGAGATGATGCTATGGACTGCCAAATGAACATATAGTAACAGTAGTGTAGTGAAGGAGAACACAAGTGAGGGCAACCGAATTCTATTTAACGAAAATTACAGAGTTACTCAGTAAAATAGGAAAACCATATCGTAAATCGGCAATTTGCAAAATATCAGTTCATCATATCGAACTGGAGGACTGTTCCTGTTGCAAAACATCAACAATCCATTGTCGCTGTTCATGCGTTTCATACAAATTTCATTGTGTTCTTCTAACTCTTCCTTTCTTGATCTTCCCCCATCTTCTGCTGTCAGACATTACGTTGACACTCACGTCATATACTAATTATAAGTAGCGCGCACCACAGTAGGAGCGCATAAAACCGATGAATATTGACTTGAAGCATCTTAAGTAGGAGAAAACTACCCAGTAGTGGTTGTCATGTTTGTCTTCTCGATTTCTTATCATTGTGTTGATATAGTGTGGTGATTTGAGCTGATGACACTATGTTCATTGAGTCGAAATGATAATTGGTTATCACAAATATAATTTCCCGTGGAAATTGTGCACATCAATGTGTCTTGAACGGATAATTATTTCCTAACTTACTGAATTCCAAGGTTTGGTTGATGATCACAAGCACTTTCATAAATATGACCCAGAATACAGCTGTTTCAACGATCATTTTGTAAATAGTTTGATTAAAAAACATTATTCGTGAAGGAAATTTCAACCTCATTCACTTTCTAATCTACTTGTACAAAATTTCAGTAGCGTTCTTGAAATTCAATTGTCAATAGATGCTTGACAAATCATTTTAATCGTTAGTTACAATTGAAATATAAAATTAGTCTTTACAAGCCTTTTGAATTGATTATTGTGTAAGAAAACAATGTGAAATTTATTTTAGAATCAATGTTTAGCGTTGTCATGAGTACGATTCCAATCAGTTTGTACTGTGCTGTCATCATTCACAGGTATTTTGTTAACGTGATCAATGAAATCCAGTTTACATATACTTCAGATCATATCTGTCATGTTTGATGTGGTGATCAGGTTTACATTTCGTAATGACTCACTACAGTAATATGGGTTGAATCACCAATTTATTTGCGTCCAACCATGAGCGGCAGTTCATTTGAAGAATAGTAAGAATAAAAGCAGATTGACTCTAAACATAGTGTACCTCACCTCACCATATCGATTTGCTTTCCTCGCTAGCTATGTGCTATATAGGATAGAGCTGATATACCGAAAACCGTTTGAGCAGTACAAAGTGACTGGTTTTGAAAATTCGTTCACAGATCTATTCAGTCATACTTTCAGGTTGATAAGACCATTTAAAAATCATTCAAGCAGAATTAATTATCCGTTCATGGGGTTGAAAGCCAGAGTGAATGGTGACAATGGCCCTCATATCTGTAAGATTATTAGAGATCTCCTAATTGCTTATTGTTGTAACACTCGCTTAATAGTTCCCAGCTAATTCCTATTGCTTAGTATTCTCTGACCATAATATACTCACTGGACAAGTTCCCAAGAATCAAGAACACGGTGGAACAGGAATAGAAATTATATTCCAAATAGCAAGGTTAAATGGAAATAAGAAGCCGAAGGCAAACTATATACAACGTAAGTATCTTTATAGTTTTTACATGTGAAGCTTCTGGAATGTAATTCACGTGATTGACTAGCACTGACTGGATTAAATTTAACCAATCAGCATGCAACTAACAACACAACAATCTTCCAGCCTGTTCTCCAAGTATGGGCCAGGCACTGATTGGATAGGAAATTAGCCAATCAGCGCGCAGCTAATATAGTCATGCTTTATTCCATCTATGTCCCACTAACACTTATGTTCAGATGAAAATATTATATATATATATATATATTCTTTCCTGTTGATTTCTCATACAGATCCTCCATTCGGTACATTTCTTCTACAACCATTGACATCTTCTCATCGAAATTCACTTTCAACTTCATCTCGAAATTCAGTTTATGAAAATGAATATGTCACATCAATGTATTTAACCGATCAACATGATTCTAACGACCAACAGACTGATTGAAACAATAAACACCGAAAACCACCATTGAGACCGTTAAAAAAATACAACATATACAAACTGATATTGTTGATGTTCCTAGAACCCTAACTACTAACACTAAAAAGTAGCTAATTCTTCGAACGATAAAGTCAATCTCAATGGTACAGAAGATGGGCGATGACGATGAGAACAGAAAAGGATATTGATAGTAATCATGGTGAATTATCATTATTGCCGACAGCTATAGTTATTTAGTCAGTTCCCAAGTGTGGGCAGCACACTCACTCATCATCATGTCATGGTTAATACTCTAACTGTTGTTCACTCAAGCAAGAATCAGCACATGTGCTTACATAAGAATCATAGACTTAAATAAATGATCAAGAAGCATGACAAGAAAACTACCAAATAACTTCACCATTCAGTCTGTCTTCAATTTCAAATGATTTTTAAGCAAGTAATGTTGGTCAGGAACTAGCTGCTATTCAAATGCATATACTATACTCAATCCCTCAATCAAAAGTAGTTATCAGTCAATTCGTTTAAACGATACTTCTGAAAACGGATTGCTTTTACTAACTCACCATGAATAGTTTGTCAGAGATTTCTTTCACCTGGTTAGTTATCAGTATGGTTTATCGATTGAGCTGATTTTTATGTTCTTTACTTTGTACGAGAACAATCTAGTACAGTACTACAGTATGTTGTTGATAGTTTTCAATAGTTTTCTCTGTCTTAAGAGCTCTCTCTCTGTACTACACATTTCAATATTTTTGTTAGTTTTTAATCTACCCAAAGGATCATACTTTTTTTATATTAAGTGCTAGTTTGAAATGTGTTAGTTAATTTCAAGTGCAAGAAGAAAGTATTGTATTTTCGTGCATCCCACATCTTTTCACCGATTATGTATTGTTTTTATAACAAAATGATACACTATAAACCAACGTTGATTTTGTTGTATATTGTATATTGAAAAGATATGCAACATACCACTAATACAGTGTGGTATTATTTCAGTACATTTGTATTTGGTAGTTTGAATCTTTTCAGAGAAAGAGACAGACCCCTGTGGAATATTATCACGATAGACTTTTTGGCCTTTAGGAATATGTGGTTTCAAGTTGGGTGGATGTGATCTCGGACCTACAAGGGAGGACAGACAGTAATTGCGGTTGTAATGAAGCACTTACTTACTTACTTACGCCTGTTACCCCCAATAGAGGAGCATAGGCCGCCCACCAGTTTTCTTCAGTCAACTCTGTTCTAGGCTTCCCTTTCCAGTTCTGTCCAATTTTTGTTCATTCTTCTCATATCTTTCTCTATTTCACGGCGTGTAATGTGTTCCTTGGCCTTCCTCTTTTCCTTTTGCCTTGGGGATTCCATGTGGGGGCTTGTCTCGTGACGCAGTTAGGTGATTTTCGTAGTGTGTATCCTATCCAATTCGACCGCTTCTTCTTGATTTCCCAATCAACTGGAATCTGGTTTGTTCTCTCCCACAGTACGTTGTTGCTGATGGTGTCTGGCCAACGAATTCGAAGCATTTTGCGTAGACAACTGTTAATGAACACTTGTGTCTTCTGGATGATGGCTTTCGAAGTTAGCCAAGTTTCCACTCCATACAGTAGAACTGTCTTGACATTTGCAATGAAAATCCTGATTTTTTTGTTGATTGATATTTGTTTGGAGTTTCAGATATTTTTCAACTGTAGAAATGGAGCCCTTGCTTTGCCGATCCGCGCCCTCATATCTACATCGGATCCACCTTGATTGTCGATACTACTGCCCAGATATCTAAAGGTGTTAACGTCCTCCAAGACATCTTCTTCATCAAGAGTGATTTGGTTGGTGCATGTTTTGTTGCATCGGAGAATTTGGCTTTCTCCTTTATGTATGTTTAGACCTACTGCTGCAGAGGCTGCTGGTACACTGGTAGTCTTTTCTTGCATTTGTTGTTGCGTGTACGATCAAAGAGCCTGGTCATCTGCAAATTCCAGATCGTCCAGCTGTGTCCTAACTGTCCAGTTGATACCGTGCTTCTCTACAGATGTCAACGTCTTCATAATCCAGTCGATGACCAGGAGAAAGAGAAAGGGTGAGAGTAAGCAAACTTGCCTCACACCGGTCTTCACCTCAAAAGAGTCTGTTAGCTGTCCTTCGTGTACGATTTTGCAGTTGACTCCATCATAACAATTCCGTATGATGTTAACTATTTTCTCAAGCACACCATAGTGTCGAAGGAGCCTCCACAGTGTTTTCCTATCCACGCTATCAAATGCTTTCTCGTAGTCAATGAAGTTGATGTAGAGTGGTGAGTTCCATTTTATTGATTGTTCCACAATGATCCGTAATGTAGCAATTTGGTCAGTACACGATCGATCCTTACGAAATCAAGCCTGTTGATCTCGAAGTTGGGCGCCTACATAATCCAGCACAGGGTCCCAAAAATCATATTGACTGATCAACGTCCATGTTTTGATAGAGTCGAGTTTTTACATCACACCTACGTTAGTTGATCAACAAGAGGATCCGGACTACACAATAACTTACGATGCAGATTAACCAATTAAACGAAACCAAATAATCGTACACTAGAGGAATGATTGTCAGCTAAAGGAGGTGACCAGAAAACTGCACTACCAATAGTATATTACTAGCTCGTCATGTGTAGATTCTGTTAATTACAAGAAATTCGTCGTTGCGGTTGATGTACACGGCAGAAGGGCGAGTCCGTCAGTAAACAGTAAGACATGTTCACAACAATAGAGATTGAATCGTACTCAGTGGAAGAACGAGCGAGAACAAACAATCAGGAACTTAATATAGACGTAAACATGCAGGCTGATAAAAAACCTGCGCAACGACCGTGAGTAGTGGTGGGTGGCGAAAGCAAAAGCGATGGAAAAAGCAGCGGCGATAGGCAACAGTAAACAAATTTTCCGACTTATCAAAGAAACCGGTATTAGGAACCCGAATGTAAGTGAGACTATCTCGGAAAAGGATGGTCTTATTATCCATTCTCAATCAGGAGACTGGATCGATGGGCAGAACACTTTAGGGATCAGCTCAACTGGCCTCGAGCCATTCTTCGGTTACCCACGATCTCCAGTCATCCTGAATGGCAAATCGACCTAAGTCCCCCTAGTCTTTATGAAGTTGAGAAAGCGTTAGGAAATCTGAAACGAGGGCGAGCTGCAGGTCCTGATAGACTGACCCCTGAGATATTTAAGGATGGTGGTCCATGTTTAGCAGCTAGGTTGACTGAGATCTTAGGTAGAATCTGGGAACTTGACATAATCCCATCCCGGTGGTCTCAATCCTTGATTGTCCCAATTTATAAGAAAGGAAACAAGTCTTCTTGTGACAATCACAGGAGATTAAGTCTAACTAATATAGTTTCTAAATTGTTAGCCTCGATTATATTTAGGCGCCTTACCAGTGCTCGTGAAGAGCAGACTAGTGAAAACCAGGCTGGTTTTCGACCTAAACGTGGCTGTATAGACCACATTTTCACACTCAGACAGGTCCTGGAACACAGACACACATTTAGACGTCCGACAATAGTAGTGTTCCCGGATCTTAAGGCCGCATTCGACTCAGTGGATCGTGAGGTTCTGTGGCAGTGTCTGTCATTGAAAGGTGTACCAAAGAAGTACATTAACCTTATACAAGCTCTCTACTCGAACACCACTGTTCGGGTGAGAGCATATGGCGATCTGTCACCAGAATTCTTTACCTCAAGTGGTGTCCGTTAGGGATGTCCACTCTCTTCATTCTTGTTTAATTTTATCATAGACATGCCACTAGAAATAAACTTATCCTCGTCTGAATTTTCAGGAGTAGAACTATTACCAGGAGGCTCGCTAATTGACTTAGAATATGCCGATGATATAGTCTTATTTGTGAAGACGCTGACAAAATGAATGTTTAGGATGCGGTTCTAACCCTCGAAATGCTGCAAAATGTTGCTTTAAGATTGGGTCGCATTGAAATCTGAACTAGTGATAGGGAGCGAAGTAGTCGAAAGTGTAGACCACTTAACTTATCTGGGGAGTCTCATTAGTGCCGATGACCTGGTGTGTGACGAAATCTCAGTACGGATACAGAAAGCTCGAATGGCTTTTGCGAACCTGCCTCACTTATGGCGCAGGCGAGATATCCGTTTGCTGACCAAAGGACGAGTGTACTGTGCAGTAGTTCGCTTCGTCTTACTTTATGGCTGTGAACCATGGCCAGTGAGAGTAGAAGATATCCGTAGATTAATTGTTTTCGATCATAAGTGTCTCCGAAGCATAGCTAGAGTATCGTGGGACAGCCGAGTAAGCAATGCTGTCGTTAGGAAAGGGGTGCTAGTTAAGGATGACAGGTCAATAGATGAAGTAATGAAACTTCATCAGTTGAGATGGTTTGGACATGATTTACGGTTAGCTAACCTCCTACTGCCTCGTCGAGCAATGTTTTGTGGTATAGAGTCAGGCTAGAAGAAAGCCAGGTTTTGTAAAACCAAGACATGATAGAAATCCATGAGGTCACTGACAAGGGGACTGAATCACGTCGGTAGGTGTCGACTATCAGGTTAGGGTCCGCGAGATGATAATAATCTATGGTTTAAGACCCTAAATGACATGGCTCAAAACAGTTTGCAATGTCGCCGGTGCATTTATTATTTGTGTTCTATGAAATTGTAACCTTCTGAATTAATCATCACCTCTATCTTTCTCTTTCTAAATTTACCTCACTCAGTTATACTTCCTGAATAATATTTTCGAACCCTAATCTCTCCGATTACTTCTAATACTTTTACTACCTCTACTACTATGGGATTTGAAATGACAATTATATCTCTGCACTAATGTGATATGGATACTTGAACTGATGTACGTACGTAACGAAGTTGCACGTTGTAACTGATTGACTGACTGACTTGATTACTTTGTTTAGAATAAATGCCTATATTTGAATATCATGCATAGAGTAATGTTACTTTTTCAATTCTTATTCAGTTAGTTCGTTCGTCATAGACCATTCTACCAACCTTATCCAATCTTGATAGATAAACAGTAGTAACATTATCTCTCGCATAAGATTGATTTTACATGCTAAATGGGTTGGCTTCCTAATACTAGTTCCTCATAGTGAAAGTGAATATATTTGGTAACATTTTTGTAAAACTCTCAACAAAATGAAGGGAGACACATATTTCATACACACTATCTGTGTGAGTCATAAATTGTAAAATTGAGAAAGATTTTTTGATCATGTAAGTTTTGATACTACTTATAAAGCTACTGCGCATATAAGTAGTATGATCTGACGTGGTAATAATATAAGTTGAATAATTAGGTCAGAAACTAAAATAAAAATGATTTGATTTAAAAAATGTGATTAGAATTTTAAATTGCTTTCCATAACTGGATGGACTTTGATTATATTTTAAATAATTGTAGTGTTGGTAAAATGACTAATTCAGTGTCATGTTTACAAAAATACACCACACGCCATATGGCCACTGTGTAGGTCATAAAAAGGGTTCCCACCTTATGGTGACCGGTCTACAACCTGCCGGGCGGAATGGCGATCAAGACATTCCGGGGACATAATATTTGACCACTGGACAGTCGGCTACGTCAAGCTGACGTCCAAATGAAGTGAACACAGTTAAGCAATAGTGGAGTCGTTGGGGTTATCTTGGTGTGCGTACGTGCGTGGACTGAGCGATTGCAGGGAACAAATGACGATACAGCAGCATTGATAATTTGTCAGTTTCCACTGAATAATGATTAATGGCGATAATTTTGAAGTGTATCACTCTTGTCATCGTAATGAATCCTTCCTATCCGAATATCAGTTGAATGACTGTAAATATGTAGAGCCTAACTAATATAAGGTTAAGTTAATCGGTCTTTTTTTACATTGGTTCATTGTTCAAATGATAGCAAAATCCTATTTTATCGTAGGTTTATAATCAATAAACTGCTGT